TACTATTTGAATGTTATTATCTTTGGTGTAAATTACTCTGTTTTTACACTTGGTTGATGAGATATGTCGTGTGTTCGTTCGTCATCTATATTCTACGATACAATGACATGGGCGTGTTACCGTTCAGATTTGAGGATATAGCTGATAGAAGGAAGTTAGCAAATGAACTCTGCGACGATTTTCCAACCTAGGGCGTCAACCTGAGAAGGGTTGTAGGCGTACTGCTGTAAGTCCTACAGTTCTTCAAGGGTAGTTCGTCATGCCAGAATCCACCACATTTGTTGTATTGATTGTACATATGTTCGTGTTAAATAATTGTGTGAGTTCCTATTATTGTAATTGTTGGTTAATCTTGTTTGTGCCCGGACATTCCACAACTTACAATCGTCAACGTGAGACGGATTGCAGGCGTACTGGTGTAAGTCCTGCAATTCTTCAAAGGAATTCCACCAAGACACGATCCGCGAGGTTATTTGTACTGTTTGTATATACGCGTGGTGCGTCATATCAATTTGGATTAATTGTGTTTTACTTGTTGTTTTCGTGCCTTGTTGTTATTACATAATTTTGTTAAACTTTTCGTCGTGATTACTTTTGAAGTCGTTTCGAGTCTTCTACATCCGTGAATGAATTGATTGATATTAAAGACAGCAGATGGGTCGTATACGCCGGGGAGGCTATCGCTGAGAATGAAATGCACACGGAGTTAATTGTTAGCTGCGGTCCCACACGCCGGGGAGCAAGAGTGTAGACGACTGAGACTTGCATACGTCACCGTTACTAGGACTGAGGCAGAATGAGTGACAAGCGATTGCAGTGGTGATTGGTAATGAGTAGATAAGAGGATGTGCGTAGAGTATCGTGAGGTGCCGCTATGGTCACGTTGCATTCTGGAAGAGTCATTCTAGCAAGTGGCGATTGTGTTGCAAGATGTCAAGAGGATGCCTTTAACTGGAAGGCGCAGGTCGTCATTGATGTGTGAGATTGTGCTGTGGGTATGCCTGTGGTGTGTTGGCTTTTCTGTTTGTTTTCCATTTCAGCTTTGTCTGTGTGACCTAGGTTCTCACAATGGCATCCAAGACAACATGTATTGGTCGTGAAGGAAAAAAGGGATGTATCCCTTTTTTGCCGGGGAGTGTCAATGCAGTTGAAGATTGAACGATAAATTCTTGGTTGTTTGCTCAAACCAACTTCCCCAATTTTCGCGGAGGCATCAATACGACAGTCATCGTCTCATCGGTCGCTGTTCAGAAAGAAGTCAGGAGAAAACCATCAGAAGTAATTTCATGATTTATTATTGTAATATTTGTTCACGGACCCTAGTAAACCCATTATTTTTATATGTTGGTGTAACAATAAAGAAATCTCGGGTGGCCAATCGGTCTTTTGGTTTTTTCGCCCGTTACTACTAAGCGTTTCTGAAAGCCGGTACGGAACAGCGTGGGCCCGAGCGTAGCAAGAGCTGGGCATTAACGGTTTATGAGACGTGACTGACAGTACCACCCTACGTTTACCAGGCGAGCTAATCGCTCCTGAAACCTTTGAGCCAAATTTCCCTGATACCACCTGTTACGCTCAGAGTCTTAAAAGTTTTATGCAGCGAATCTGACCTGTATCCACACGCAATCAGAACCGTAAGGTTCATGTTTATCGGCTAATTGATGACTGTACGCAAGTTTTCGTGCGTCACGACGCCAAACGAAAGCCATTACAACCACCATATGACGGGCCTTTTAAGGTACTTAGTCGTAAAGATAAATTTTTCGTTATTGAGCGGTGCGGCCGCCCAGACACTGTAAGCATAGACAGGCTTAAAGCGGTATACACTGAAGAACCTTCGCCCTCCCCGTCGGCTTAATCAAATAGCCCCACGGAACCTAGATCTTTCCCGGACCCAACTACCTCGCCCCCAGCGACGAATGATGATTCTCCTACCGTCACCGGTAAGACCCCTATCACACGTGCTGGTCGACGTGTTCACTGGCCCAAGATGTTCACAGAATTCTTTCACTGAACTAACCCATAGGTAATGCTACTGGTGGTTTTTTATTCCTTGTCACAATATTTTATTCAATTTTGCTATATTTACTCTATTTCGTTCCGTTTATGGGGGTAGTCGATTTTCCCCGCACTAATCCTTTTGATCTTTTTCTCTCGTTACAGAGAATCAGCAGCAGTATTTTATCCTAATTTTTCATCTATTTCACATCACTCTACTCGCTAGACCGGTTGGTCTCTAATGTCATCTCGTAACCCACACCAATTAAGGAATTACGAATAGTATATTACTTTTCACTGCACAATTTCTTCAAAAAATTAAATATTAAAAGTAATTTTAAAAAATGTAAAAAATAATAAATAAATAAATAATTAGAAAATTAAAAAAGTCTAACAATTATAAAAAAAAGAAACTTCCACTGTATAGTTAAATGGACCGATTTATATATATATTTTTTGTGCGCATAAATGCGTCACTTCTATGCTGTACATAGTAATCCGCTCAATTTATTCTCATAGACTACTATATTCCTTCGGGTTTATGCCCTCCTGCAATTCATTTATTTTGTGAACTGTGCTTGTAAACATTATGCATTATCTTAGTCATGCACTTCGCAACATAAACAAAACAATTTTTGTAATGGTAACTACTCCTAGCTATCGGCTATGTACACACTTCTCAGCAATTTTATAAGTTAGCAACTTTGTCTTATTTCAGTCTGACGCATTACTTCTATATTACACCAGTTTTCCTCGCATTTACTCCGCACAAGCTTTTGTAGTACTTTTACGCCAATTTTGAAATGTTAGCCTCTTCTCCCATTCTATTTTGTTGCTTTTACCCTGTTCCTTCTCATACGCTGGTATAATTATTGCCTTCAACATTGCTGCTAGGTTCTGTTGAAGCGGAGGAAGGGAGCATTAGTCTAAAATGAAAATTTATTATTATTTTTTTTGATTTACAGCTTGATTCCACACTGTATTTTTGGCACAAGTATGGAATTTTCAGCATGGATATCGGTAGCCCAAATTTTGCAGGCCGACCATAGATATCAGGTGTGCGCCGGCGTGGGCTCGAACCCCGGACCATGTGCATGGTCGGCGAGAGTCCTAACCACTGTGCCACCTCGCTTAATGCTTTCTTCTTTATCGCACAGAACACGAGCCAAGTAGGGTATGGTTTAACTTTTGTACTTACTAGTGCGAGCATACAGTTTTCTATATAGGCTTCTGGTCTGCCTGCCTGATAAGATACAAGGGGAGAGTAGTGAATGAAGAGGGTGGTGTGATTTAGATAGATAAAATGGATTTAGCCCATTTCTCACATGAGTCCATGAGCCTGTGGACCAGAATATTAACAAGCTGGTTAGGTGGCACATTGCCTACCCTTCTGACAACCTTTAACAGCCTGCGTAATGAGGCATAGTCTTCCTTCAGTAGCCCGGAAAAAGAAAGCGGGAACAATAGAGAATGATAGGCAGAATACGGGAGTTGACGAATTGTAGGAGTAAGGGTTGGGTTATACCAGAATATCTTAACTTCTTGATGTAGAAAGTAAGACGGAATATTTTCTCAGAAATCATCAAGATATGAGACGACCAGGAAGAAAAGATCAGCAGACAGAATGACGCCTAGGTATTTGATTTCCGACTTGGTATCTATTTCAATGCCATCGATGTTGCACACCTCGTGAGTGCTAACCAGTTTGTTTAGAGGTCAGATTTGTGCCTGTAGGTGAAATTGACTGTTTGGCGTTGGAGGGGGGGTAAGGTAAGACCGTTTTCCTTGGACCATTGGCTGACTTCTGATAAAAAGCCGTTTAGTTTAGTGCAGTCACTCTGACATTTGACAGGTAAAGATACAGTTAGGTCATCAGCATATTTGACAAAATTGATGTCATTTGAAGATTGCAGGTCATGTGGAAAGAAAGAAAGGAGAAGTGGTGAGAGTACAGCACATTGGGAGACACCAGCTTCAGTGAGTACAGCAGAGGAGGATTTACCTTTGTATATGGTGTACCGTATTCTGTTTGAGAAGTAGGAATGCAACCAGTTAGTGACCCAGGACTCAGTTTGTGTCATCGAGAGCTTATTTGGCAAGAGTCACATAGGTACAGAGTTGAAAACAGAAGTGAAATTGTCAACTTAATAACTGATATTTCTGTAAGACTTTGCCGCATTAGGGAACCTGTGTCATCGACGTTGATGTTTAACGTTCGAGAATTTTTACTGTTTCTAACAAAAATAATCGATTTTCTCAAGGGACAAGTGATTGAAGGACTGGTACTATCATTCGAGTTAATAAAATACTGGGCTATAGCACCCGTTTAACTCTTTATCCGTGGCAAACTCATCGCTTCGACGTCCAGAGTAGTAACCAATTACAACTTACCAGTGTTACTTATGATCTGTGTTGTAGTATTAAAGAATTTCCTGCCTGCGGTGACTGATAGAGAACTACATGGTAGTTCGATTGCACTAGTGCTGCTACTGTTGGACTTTTAAGATGGTTACACTTACAAACGTAACTGAAAAATGTTTCTTCACAACAGAGGCAGCAGGGTAACTCATGAAAGATGCAGAGATATTAGAAACGCAGATGGAGAATACACACTAATTTTTACTAGCAAAAATTGATTCCAACAACAAACCCAGAAAAACTATTAACTCAAAGCCTCTTATTTGCTTCATAGCACATATAACATATTTAGCAAAACATGGAGAGTAGCAATGCCTACTAGTAAAGGACCAAGGACCAGTTTCTGAACACAGTCGAGTTTAATAATGCCTATCTGATTATCTATGTATTTCCAGTACCTTGTTTATCCTTCAGAGTAACATTAGGTCACAGCATCTCTACCGATGTTCAGGAGCACATTACCCTGTGAGCATGTAAGGTTTTTTTATGTGAAGTCTACAGCATTAATAATTGGATATTGTACTGTTTGTCTCCAAAGTGGTTATCTTACGCGCGCTGTTTGAGTGTCTTGCTCTTTGTTGACAATGAGCTCATTCTCAAGTGATAGGTTAGGTTTTAAGTTTTTATTAATTCATTCACAGGAGTCAAGATGATCATAGTCCTGCAAGGCGTCGTTCACCTGCTGAGAGAAGATCAAGAAGCCGCTCTCCTCGACGCGTTCGAGTGAAATCAAAGCGCATAGTTATCGCTAACATTCCATATGATCTTAATTGGCAAAAGTTGAAAGAGTTATTCAGAGAACAAAGCAAGTTCAGAGTTTTTAGTAAATATTATATTCAGTTGGATTTACGGGTTTTCTGCAGTTGTTTAAGAAAAATGGCAAACCTAACGGGATGGGGTAAGTTGGCTTACATGTATGCTGACATTCTTTAATATCAAAGTCTGATGGAGTTCAAGACAACTGAAGGGGCTGAAAAAGCTATAGAAAAAATGCACCGATTTGAAATTGGGGACAGAAAGCTGGTCGTTCGAGAAGAAACTGCCCGTGATGCCGCTCGTATTGCAACAATGGAGGTGGATACCCCACTTCCAAGTGACTCCATGAATACAAGTGAAGCAGTTAACTCAGCGCCAGTGGGACCAATTTACACCCCACAGATGCTTAGTCAAATGGGTATTGAAGGTCCAATTACAGATTCGGTGTATGTTAGTAATGTAGGTCGTACTCATTGTTTCTAATCTTTTCTCCGCAGCTTGATTATAGCGTGACCTGGCAGAAACTCAAGGATGTATTTAAGTTAGCAGGAAGAATCACCAGTTCTGTTATTAAAACTGACTCTGAAGGCAAATCACGTGGAGTTGGCATATTAAAGTTTTCAAGTCCTTATGAAGCTGTCCAAGCTGTTAGTATGTTTAACAACCAGGTGAGTACAATAAGTAAGGTATTTTTAGGACTTGACTTACACGATAAAACTCCAGAACCAATACAAAGTGATATTGTATCTTAATGAATTCTGGATTTTTCTGGTAGTAAATTTCGTTTCAGGAATATTGTAGATTGTGATGATCTTGTCGGGTAACAATTATATTTCTCGAAGTGTTTGTCTAAGAAGACAGAGACTTTAAAATCCTCCTTTCAGTCACATCAACTTGATGCACATCTGTTTTCTAACAGATTAGGGCTGGATTCGCTCTATGAGAGCACTAACCTTGAAAAATCTTGATAATATAAGGAAGACAAGATTTCAAGTGAGTGATGTCACCTTACTTCCGAAATAAGTGAAGCGGTCAATATGCTCTGCCACCTCACTCCCTATTTCTAAACTAGAAATCAGTGTAGTCCAGTCCTGTAACATCATCTTACATTTGGTGGGGGCGAATCGCATGACAAACATTCGTAAATTGCTTCTCCTTAAGGTGTTCAGAAGACTGCTCTATTTTGTCAGCGTCCTCGCCTAGAAGTGCTATGTCGTCTGCATATTCTAAGTCAACGAGATTATTCTCTGGTAGGAAGTCAATCCCCGAGTCGCTGAAGTCACTTAGGGTTAAGTCCATTAGTACATCTATGATGAAGTTGAATAGAAATGGGGATAATGGGCATCCTTGACGGACACCACTGGTCGTCATCAGTTCAGATGACAGCTCGCCGTAAGCCCTCACCTGGCTGTATGAGTACGAATAGAGTGCCTTAATCAGTGCAATATATTTTCTTGGAATTCCCTTTACAGCCAAGCATCTCCAGAGAACTTCCCGATCGACAGAGTCGAATGCTGCCTTTAGGTCAAGAAATATAATGACTGTTGGACGCCGGTAGGAATGCCTATGTTCTAGAATCTGTCGGAGGGTGAAGATATGATCAATACACCCTCTTCCTGGTCTAAAGCCTGCCTGGCTCTCTCGTGTTTGTGCCTCCCGAGCACCACTCAGTCTACGCATGATTATTGAGCCTAAGACTTTAGATACTATATTAGTCAAGCTAATCCCTCTGTGATTATCACAGGAAGACTTGTCTTGTATATGGGGATAATCAGTGACTTACACCAACCCGATGGGACTTCTCCTGATTCCCAGACGCTGCCTAGTACCTCAGTTAATGCAGACAGTAAACTGTCTCCACCGTACTTAAATACCTCTGGAGTCATTCCATCAGGTCCCGCTGCTTTGCCTAGTTTCAGATTGGTGACAGCTTTAGTAACCTCAGTTAGGGACGGAGGACCTGTGTCTATATCCCATTCAGGGAGGTGTTGGATGTTCGGAAGGTTGAGCGTGGCTGTAGGCCAATTAAACTGCTCCTCATAATGCTCTTTCCAACGATCCAGTCGTCTATCCTGGGAGCTAATTATAGTGCCATTTTTTCCGAGATTGTTTCACTTATGATTTGTCTTCTCCCACCCGTTTCCCTGATGAGTCTAAAGAGTTGCCTGGTGTTGCCTATCCTCGAAGCTTTCTCCATCTCTTTGGCTTTTGTCACCCACCACTGTTCACGGTCCTTGCGGAGACTTTTCGTAAGTTTCCTTTTGTGCAGCTTTCGCTCCTCATTGAATTCGGAGCTCGCCGGAATAAGTCTTCTAGCATCTATCAGTTCGGATGAGGCGGTGGAGATCCAGTGGTTTTTACTCACCTTTGGGTTTACCTTATTCACAGCTTTTACAGCTGTATCTATGGCTGCCTGGATATTTTCCAAGCTTCTTCAGGGTGAGCACAGCTGTCGAACACAGATATGTGTTTAGCTAGTTCTTCCTCAAATACGGATTTAGTTTCCTGATCGAGCTGGGGACGTGATGGTTTTACCGCCAGCTGTTTCCTACGTCCGTTCAGTCGTAAGCACACACGAGCGCGGACCAGTGCGTGGTCGGTATCTACACACGTGTTCCAGAAGGAGCGACAATCTCCTACCGACCCACGCCAACGATAGCTTATTGCTATGTGGTCTATTTGTGTCCAGCGTTGGTTTGATGAAGGGGGTCTCCAAGTCAAACAGTGTCTCTCCTTGTGTTTAAAGTTAGTGCTTACAAGAAACAAATGATTATCTGAACAGAACTGTAGGAGACGGTCACCGTTGTCGGTTCGCTGGCACGGAACTCCATAGGTGCCACCGACATCCTTCTCAGATTGACACAATTTCCCTACTTGAGCATTAAAGTCACCAGCTAGAACGACTATGTCTGAGCGTTTAGCCTTTCTCACCAAACTAGACAGCTTTTGGTAGAACTCATCCTTCGTTTCATCTGAACTGCAGTCAGTGGGGGCGTAGGCGGAGATTACGAAAAGGCATCGGCGAGTAGTGCAGTCCTTCCTCCTTCTTACTGATCCGTTCAGACGGACAGCACACATTCGGCTATCTACCGGGATCCAGTCAAGCAATGTCTTTTCTGCCCTAGTACTCAAAGCTATCCCTACACCAGCTAATCCTCGTGAACTAGCTGTGGCATCTCCTGACACCCTCAAGGTGAATTTTGCAGATTCATCCTGTTGGCCAGGTGGGGTTAGGTGAATAACCACACTTGGGTCTTGTATGCGTGTTTCTGAAACACAACATACATCAATGGCTCGAGATGCCAGGGTCTTAGCTAGTGATGCTTGTTGTCCTATTTGGCAAAGTGTCCTAACATTAAATGCTCCTATATGAAATTGGTGGCGTGGCTTTAGGAGACTATCGGTGGTGGTTTTTTGGCTTCCGTCGTTTTTAGTGGACACAGAGTGAAGAGGGATGTGGGGGGAAGACAAGGCAATGGAGATGAAGACAAAGATAAGTGAGGATTAGAGAGGTTTTGTGTGCATTTCGGATTGTGAGGGTGTTTGTTACTTCCCGGCTGCCCACACGGTGGAAGTTGGTTGCGTGACCGCAGAGCCCAGGGGACAACTGCTTGAGGCCGGTCACACGAGACCTGTTTTTGTCTGTTCTTTTTTGTTTAGTGTGTCTCAGTAGCATATTTATCACTTCTGCCCTGTGGCACGGCAGCAGGAAGCGCGATCGTTGTTAATCCGGGCCGCGACCGATTCGACATGATATTTTGTGAGTTTGTTTGTATCACAGTATTGGATTGGGTAGCTGCTTTTTGTCTAACCGCTATCCAAACAACCTTTCTGGCATGGTAGGACCTCACGAGACATAAGTCTCAGCCAGTATAGCTTGTTTGGACATTGCGGTATTCAAGCCCGACCACCACGTCAAGGTAGCAGCTTTCGGTCGGGAACGGGGAATGGTAATATACGACACCGTTGGGATGATAACGAAGAAAATGTTATAAGTTGAAGCGTTCGAAACGTAGTCATCACACTACCATTTTAGTTCAAATTATCATCAGTCTATACTCATTTTTAAGCAAAAAACGAGAGGAAGACTTGCCGCAAGTGCAAGTTTATTTATTTTTTGATTTACAGTTTGATTCCACACTGTATTTTTGGTACAAGTGTGGAATTTTCAGCATGGATATCGGTAGCCCAAATTTCGCAGGCCGACCATAGATATCAGGTGTGCGCCGGCGTGGGCTCGAACCCCGGACCATGTGCATGGTCGGCGAGTCCTAACCACTGTGCCACCGACGAAGTGAAATCAACAGGTTACTTAGCTAGTTTAGATTGGTTTATTGATTGTGAGGTACCATGTAATGATCCTAACCTAGCTGCACTATAACATCTGTTCATTGCTCCTTTTTTCGTTTGTTAGTCCTTCGGCATACTACTCCTTTGTATGAAGAACATAAGTATTTTTACCTTTCCGATGTTAATTGTTTCGCCTTCGCAAACTTCAAGATGGTATCATTCCGACATTGATGTAATTTTCATTGCTCTATAACTATTGTAATTTCAGGTGGTTTGTAGCTGATGAGAACCTGTGAAATAAGATGACATCAGTTCATACTTCGAATTTGGCCTTCTTTGCTTTTTCACGATCATCTGATTTTGTTATTGTCTGTGCTCAGTAACATCTTTCTTTCCTCCTTTCATATCTTTAGTATAGACTCGTGATTCACACAACAATCAGTAATTTGCAATATTATGCTGTTTCCCTTCCTTTTTCAACCTCTATTTGTCGCATCTTATACTTATTGTAGTCCGAACATTTTAAGTTTCTTAAGGAAACGGTGGCGAATTCCCACAAGAGGACTATTAGATATGCCAATGGCCAATTACATTTGTTATTTAAATAGAATTTTCCAAGGTTTTAATAGATATCGATGGCTTTCATATTTAAATTTATGTTTGTCATTTCGTTTTCCACCTGAAGAATTTCTCTTTGGGAGACTTAGTCGGATCAGTAGACGAATTATTTACGTTCATTACCATATTCAACTGTCAGAAGACGCATCGGTCGTGGTGGGTGGGTGCTTACTTAAACTCACTTGTCGAGATGCTATTTTTCATGTATGATTCTGTAAGCCACGTTCATTGTGAGGGCTGATGATGCTGCTCAGTTACCCTGGCTCGGATCCAAAAAGCTCGAGCTGCTTTCGCTAACTTACGCTATATCTGGCGTAGGCGTGACATTCGGCTATCAATCAAGGGACGTGTGTACTGCTCACCAGTTGGCTCCGTCCTTCTCTATGGCTCTGAAACATGGCCAATACGAGTTGAAGACATGAAAAGGTTGACTGCTTTCGATCATAGATGTCTACGATCTCTTTCTCACGTTAAGTGGTATAATAAGGTAAGTAATGTCGACGTTAGGCGTGGTGTTGGGCAAAGAGGGAAGATCAATCGACGAGGCTACAAAGTTACATAGATTGAGATGGCTAGGTCACGTGGTGCGCATGCCTAACCATCGCCTCCCCCGCCGACGGCCATTACTAGCTGATATAGGTGCAGGTTGGAAAAGAGTAAGTGGTGGGTGGCCAAACAAAAACATGTCATCAATCCATGAAATCCTTGACAGTTAGACTGAGTCAGGTGGGGAGATGCAGACTTACGGGTTGGGGCCCTCGGGACTCTAAGAATCAATGGTTGGAGACAATAGGTGGCGACATGGCTCAAAATCGTTGTCAATGGCCAGCGCAGATGTATTCAGTCTCTGTAATCTTTTTGATTTACAGCTTGATTCCACACTGTATTTTTGGTACAAGTATGGAATTTTCAGCATGGATATCGGTAGCCCAAATTTTGCAGGCCGACCATATTCCTTTCTACCATTACCCATTCTGTTTCATTCTTATACTTGTCAGACTGTATTGATTCTCTTCACTCATCTTGTCTACCTTTGTGTGCTATTTGGAACGTGGCAACTCGAACTGGTGCACTTCGGTGCCAAGTTCTATGTTGAATCCAGACAGACAGCTGTTCATTCACATCTAGACGGATAAATGACTAGTATTCCAATAATCACGCAAAAACATCAATTACGGTGGGGCTACTTTATGTCGTAATTATCATAAGATGTTTAAATGTTTGCCATGACAACAGTGTACCACAATGAACTGCTTTTTGCTACTATATTGAGAAATACGATCCATAATTTGAAATGGAAAAAAATACGCAGGGTAAATAAACTTGAATTACACGTTTATTAAATTCTATCGATATTAAAAATATGTAGCATAAACTAGTACTAGCTTTTTATGTGTACTAGACTGGATTGATTGCGGAAAACAATAAACATGATATTCCATAAGTTCTTGGCTGATCGTCAGAACTGCTCAGGAAATCGCTCTTTGCTGCCACTCTAATTTTTTCCTTTCTTACGGATGATTTTATCGTGAGCTGACATCTGTTAGAAAACCACTGGAAAACCTGGGAGTACTGGACAGCTGTTTGTCCTAGTTTGGGACTTTATAGCAGTACTCACCCACCGAGGTCCGAACCCGGGACCTTCTTGTTACATGGCGAGCTCTCAGACCATTGAGGCACTGGGACCCGATCCAATAGTTCTTGAATTCTAACTTCTGTCAGTTCAATAATTTGAAATAGGGGGGCACGAGTATTTCACTCCTTGTGTTGTTTGTGTTTGATTGTTAACTCTTTGTATTCTTGTCACCTACACGAGTTTTTCTGAGGAAGTAAGCTGCTAAACCATTTCTGATTAAAAAAAGTGCTGATAAGGAGACCTCGCTACTCAAATTATATGACTATCGTGGATAGACATATAATGTCATGTAAGAAACTAGCGAATACAATAGTCAGACCCCGAGCATTCTCTCTATACGCAGCTGTCTCCTTGCATTTCACGTGGTAGAACTAGAAGCAACTATAGGAAGCTGGCTATATGCTAGGACTACCAAATACAAAAACTCCACAATACCATATTTGGCACAGCTGTTATGTGGTGAGAAATCCGTTAAGTATGACACGATCAACTTACTGTGGCACTCTAACAAATAGTCCCCTATTGATTTTTGTTTTCCTTTCTTCGTTACTATTCTGTTGTTGTTCACATCTATCACACATCAACTTTATATTTCATATCCTGTGGTGCATTGTTTAAAATGTAAACGCAACGCTGTTGTATTTTATTCTCTTATTTATCTTCTTTTTTGGGGTGTTGCTTTTTGATTTTAAAATCTTATAAAATTTATGAGGCAATTAGATGCAATATATTGTAATGCACGCTGAAAACTCCATACCTGTACCGCAAATACTGTTTGGAATAAAGCTATTATTATTATTATCACTATTAAATGAGAGCAATCTTGACATCAGGTATTCATTGGTGCAAATTACTGCCAACTTGTACCGTGTTTCACACTTTGAACTATTTATTCAATAATGATTGGTGACAAATAATATCTGTGGGCCTCTAGAAAGGGATTTTAAACCCCTTAAAGTTAACTTTTTGCGTGCAGTATGATCGAGCCATTATATTAAGTAAATTCGACAAACTATGTTTAAAATAATGTTATGGTTGATTATTTTGCAGAGATAGACTAATAAATTACTTACTTGTATTTAAATACAGTCTCTTACACAGCCGATTACTGTTTTTTTGTAGATATTAAAAGACAGACCAATGCGTGTAAAGATTGATCGTCAGGGTACTCCTGCCTCGTCAGATATACTTTATCCTCCGTCACGAACTGGTTCATCTGGCATTCTGGGCTCTACTGCACCAGTGACTTCTAATCCTGCTTCAACCGGACAGTCTTCAAACCTTATTGCCGCTCTTTTAACTCTTCTTGGTCTGAAAACAACTGTAGATTCAAATCCTCAAGGTGGTGGGATAGCTGAAATTCTGCGTACTTTGGGAGGGAATACAAACCCTGCTGGAGGTCTTAATGCTTTGTCAACTGGACAGTCTAACGGTTCTTTGGGTTTTGGCAACAATGCGTTGTCAAATGTTTCACAAAGTATGATTCCTTTTAAATAGGTTTTATTATATATTTCTAAAACAGATTTAGTATTGTGTTTTATCCAAAAGACTGAATACAACAACCTTGTGTATCTTTATGAAGTGTAATATGGGATTCTATATCTTTTCGAGATTAATGACTAACTGTACAATGTGGAATTTGTCCTTAAAATTGTATCGTTATTTCTGTAATGAAAGCAACATATTGTTTAAGCCGATGTTATTTAGATGGCTTTACAAATGTTTATAGATTTACTGTGGAAAAGCTTACCCTGATTAATGATTGGATAGACGTTATAAATTCTATGAGCATTTGTTTAAGTTTTTAGGCTTTCACAAAAAGTTCACTACTACTTATCCTAATTAAAGAGATCGCTAGAAAGGATTAGCAACAAGGAACTCTGAGGAGGACGAGGTAATCAAAAACCTACCTTGTTGTCCAACAAATATACAGAATGAAATGGAGGCAGATTGGACACATACGGAGTAGACTCTGTGGAATGACATTACGCGCCAAGCTGTCGAGTAGATCCCGAATGGGAAACGACGGCGAATTCGGCGTGGTTCTAAAGGTGACACACGAAGTAGATCGTGGGAGGAGAATGCCAAAGTCAGCTGGGAGAGGATGTAGAGAAAAGAGTGGAATGGTATTGTTCTGCTGAAGCCATATATCCCATCGATAACCTTAGGGAATAGTATAGTAACCCTGCTACTAATAGTAATAGTAATAATAATAGTGCATTTCCTTAATTTAAGTCGGTAAACACCAGATGTCAGTAATTTTTTCATAATTTTAGAACGTTGTGATTTTAACAATAAAAAGGGATTGGTGGTGGTTCAATTAGGAGTGTTAAACAACCGCACTTCTAAACGTTGCATATTTTACTGTTTGTGATAGTAAGCGTTGTAAAGAGGGGAAGGTTGGGGTGAGGCTAGCAACCTCAGTCTGTAATAAAACGTTACTGAGACATCAACGCAACGCTTGAAGCTATATGTTCCACTTGATACGCCTGGGAATGAAAAAAAATAAAGATGATTATGCATCATTACATTTTGTAGTTCCTTTCTTTTTAGCATTTCATTCATATCATAGCCTGGTTTACAGGTTATAGTTGTTCAACTTAAAACACTATCTCATCCCTCGGTGTTAGAAAGTTCCAATCTTGTTCTGTATATCCTGGAAATGTTTCGTTTGTTATCTGTCGATTTCACTTTACACATTTTCAACAACTACTAGGTTCAGGGGGGAATCGATTTGGTTCAGGTCAATTTACAGACGAGGGATTACAACAACTGATCTCAGCAGCTGCCGCAGGTGGGATGTCTCAGTCACAAATAGCCAATGTATTGTCAGCTCTTGGTGTGTCTCAGGTATGTGCATGTGTGTGTGTGCGTATACTTAAACTGCTGCTGTATTTACTACAGCTTACCTGGTATTTTGTTTTACAAATGTGTTCCAGTAGTGTTTGACTTGACATTATCACTGATGATTGTTTAGTAGGATGTTGAAAAGCCTCACCACTAAAATGACAAGTTTAAAAAATTAACAAACAACTTGATCTATACATCTGCACCTGTTCCAGATACAAACAGTGGTTATTGTCATATGCGTATCGGCTTGTCGTATGTGTATAGTTTCTTTTGAAACAGTTGGGATTCTTAGTCTTTGTTGCATTTTTCAGTTCTCTATCATAATTTCGCAATAAATGAATCATTATTAACTTTTAGGGCAACTGATTGAGTGTTTACCTTAAGAGAAACCTGTTTTAGAATACAACTTGTACGCATCTAGTTGCACTCAGTTGTGAAAAAACAAATTCTGTGGTTAGTAGTCACGGTTGTGGGCTGACTGACTGACTGACCTTGCTAATATAAATTGTGAATGTAATTTATCCTGCTAAGTACTGATATCAGTCATAGACAGGGGTGGGGGTAGCTGTGTGTTTACTAGTTGGTGGTGGTGTTCTGCTGAAATTGAAGAGGTGGATCAAAGACAACAAGATACTAGTTGCGAGTATGAACATCTGTATAACTTCTTTGAGACGTTTCAACGGTTCGTTATAATGGATATGAGATTAACTGTCATTTCGTTGTGTACTGTGTTGAATTTCGAGATATGAGTAAGAAAATTTACAAGTATGTGTCTATGCTTGTGTGTTCTCATCATCATCTGTTTGATAATTTGGTGTTTATGCTTAGTGTGTGATCTAACTAGAAGGAAATTTATGAATATTTGTCAACTGAAGATCTGTATCAGAGTTTCAGCTGAATGTGTTGATCAGTTTCTCTGGAAAAACAGCTATAAAACTGTTATCTTCGTATGTTTTAATTTCATCAGTATCATCCATTTTGTTGTGTACACACTTGTATTATGAAAGGATGTGCTCATCAGTTTTGGAATTCAGTCCTACAGAGTATTTATGTTATTCCCTCATTAGTATTTATTTTGCAGTCAAGGTTGTTATTTCACTTGGTCGTTTTGTTCAGTTGTTTCACTCTTATCTATTCCACATACACACACACACGCATATACATATGTATATATGTGTAGAGTTCTCATTTGGATCAGTCTGGTCAGTTGAATGGTTCAAATATCGTCGGTCGACATGGTACTGCTGGTGGGGTTGTCGGTGGTGTTGTTGGTGATCGAGACTTTGATAATTCACGTTTTGACAGCGGACATCATTTGAAATATGAGACTTCAGGTGAGCTAGAATGTCGTTGCTGTTTTGCTTGTGTCTGTGTATGTCTGTCTGCCTGTTTGGACGTGTTTAAACACGTATCTGTTGCGTGTAACGCTTGTTGTTGGATTTTGTTCATTTACGAATTCTTCTTTCGCATCTGTAATATCCTTATGCTTTAACCAGCTGTGCGAAGTAATTTTTTTTCGGGGGGTATATTTTCAGCATTTTTATTGTTCAGCAGCACCTTTAACTCGAAACACTTATTCCATTGTCAATTGGTGTATAGCTGCTTGTTTTGTTCGATATAAAGAAGAAGTATCTTTGAAGTATACAGTCTCCTAATAGTTATAGGCAGCAACAGTAATGCGGAACGGGTCATGTCGCTTGATTTGTCCAAGATATGTGTCATTCTGTCAAACTTTGTGATAGTTATTGGCGTTATTTGTCTTCATCGGGTTCGCTCATAATCTCACTCTCTCTATGTGTGCTATGCAGGTTACTGCTTAATGGGCATAATTTTCGCCAATGGAATTAGTTATACCGTAGTTTATGTCTTCTGCAGTTTAGATAGGATGGTAGCATCATTTTGAACAGTATTCACGTTTTGATGATGTGGATTGAGTGAGATGTCAGTTATCTTAAGCATAAAATTAATTTAAATTCCTTGACCAACAAAAGATATGTTGTAGGCGGTTTTTCTTTCGTCTCTACTGCACTGATTGACTATCATCCTGTTCTGCAACTAGGTCGGATGATCTAGTAATATGCTTTCTAGCACATTCTTTCCCATGGAAAGAATTTTGATGTGATTTTGTTCTCTGAGCTGGATAGTTAGTTTGCGAACTAACTATCCAAACTAACTATCCAGCTCAGAGAACAAAATCACATCAAAATTATCCACCTGAGCTACAAATCTTCTCTATCATATCCATGGAAAGAATGTAATGCAGTTCACCTTATTATCAGCCGTTGATTGAATTTCTCCATATATGTTACACGCCACGCTAGGGTAGTCTTCAAAGGAGCAAATTATACTGATATTTCCACCCTCGTATTGTTTATCTATTATTATTATTATTATCTTTCATTTACCAGGAAATTATCGTCTAGACTCGCGTAGTGCTGTTCCTATGATGAGATCTGAACCTGCAGACAATTATGTGCATGCAGGAAACTATCCTAGATCTGGACGTGGGCGTGGTGAAGATGTTTCACAGTTTGATAATAGTCGATGGAATGCAACCGAAAAGTTGATTGTGAAAAATGTAAGATTATTTTTAAAAAGAATTATGATGTCACATTGTTCTGAGCTTATAAGATTAGTGTACTCTACGCACTAAATTATGTTTAACTATAAAAGTCCCAGTGATGTTGTCTCGTTATTTGTAAAAGAAATGTCTATAGCAAGATTATATTATCTAGAAATGTTTAATGTTCGTGTACAGGGATTTAATTAGCTACAGGTCTGGTTACAAGCTGACATCAGTTAGAGAGTCATTGAGAAACGAAGGAGTATCGGATAGCCTTTTCCTTCCAGTTTGGGACTCTTCAGCGGTATTCATCCACCACTGGGGTTGGAATCCATCGTTACAAGGCGAACTCATAGGACATTCAGCCACTGGGACCCTACCTAATGGCACAGTGGTTAAGACTCTGTGCTGACTATGTCTCCGCCTGACGCACACCTGATATCAATGGTTAGTCTGCTCAATTTGAGCTACCAATATCACATGTTTAATATTCCATACTTGTATCAAAAATACTGTGTGGAGGAGTCAAGCTGATAAAAAGATAATAATAACTCCAACTTCTAACTGATGTTACCTCGTGATGAAACCTGTAATCAGTCGAATCTCTGCAAACCCCCAGCACTTGATAACTAGTCTGTTGCTTACTAGTGACTGACTGGCTGACTGACTGGCTGACTGACTGTATATAGGAGTTCTGGCGTGAAGTCGTAACTGGCGGTGTTCACGAAGTCAGGTTAGAGAACTATTATTCACACATGACATCTGAAAATATTTCACTCAACGAAACGTGTTCAACGGTTTTAGGAAGAAAGAAGAGACAAGACAAGGAATGGCTCTCAAGGGACACTTGGAAATTAATAGAAGAGAGGGTAATGGCGAAAGATAAAATGATTCAATGCAAGGACGGACAGGAGAAGGAGACGATGAGCTCAACTTACACAGCACTGGACAAAGAAGTGAAGAAGAGTGCTAGGAAGGACAAAAGACGATTCTACGACAACCTGGCCACTGAAGTTGAAAAGGCAGCAGGCAAAAGGGACCTGAGGACATTATCAGATAACCAAGTCTCTGTCCGGGAAGAGATCAGCACAAGCGAAACCTATAAAAGACAGCCAAGGGAACCTAATCACCAAGAAAGAAAAACAGATTGAACAATGGGCGGATCACTTCAAAGGACTCTTGAAATCCTTGACAGTTAGACTGAGTCAGGTGGGGAGATGCAGACTTACGGGTTGGGGCCCTCGGGACTCTAAGAATCAATGGTTGGAGACAATAGGTGGCGACATGGCTCAAAATCGTTGTCAATGGCCAGCGCAGATGTATTCAGTCTCTGTAATCTTTCATATTCCTTTCTACCATTACCCATTCTGTTTCACTCTTATACTTGTCAGACTGTATTGATTCTCTTCACTCATCTTGTCTACCTTTGTGTGCTATTTGGAACGTGACAACTCGAACTGGTGCACTTCGGTGCCAAGTTCTATGTTGAATCCAGACAGACAGAGACAAATTGGTGATAAAGATTTTCAAATAGGCGTTCGATCCCAATGGCATTTAGTGGTTCTGGAAATAGTGATCTCTTCAACTTCTTTTCTTCTGATTCTTTCGTCTTTTTCGAAGTGGCATGCAGATATTCAATGAATGTTAGGTAACATACGATGTTCAAGTCGTTTTGTACATTGATCAGTTTATTTGACGATAAACATGAATCACCAACTCTGTCTTCTTCAGAGTAAAAATATGATTTGCAAGACTAATTTGATGTAGTTTATTTGCCGCTTATCAGTCTTGTATATCTTCCAATGTAATTTTGATAGTATATATGTATCGCTGTATGTAGAGTATTCAGGTGACGAGTTCTACCGAGATTTCATGAATTTATTAAGTTTTTGGTTTATCATCATTTTTTGCCTGTTTGAAATTCTTATCGGGATGTGCATTTTTTCATTACAATTTTTTCTCGACAGATTCCATTCTCTCTGTCTGCTAATGATGTGAAGAAGATATTTAGAGAGGTTGGGGAAATGAGTTATTTCAATCTGGTTACGGATAATGATGGTCGTTCGCAAGGGATCGCGTTTATCGCGTACACCAATCCTGATGATATTTATAGAGCCATAGGTAGGTTGAAGCAAGAAGAAACAACATTTTTTATTTTCATAAATCTTATCATATTGACTATCAACTGTAACATGTTATGTAATCATTTTATTGCTGCGGGTTGAAGTGCGTGATATTAGCCAATAAAAAAACGATTACTGGTTCACAGTGAAGAATATTGATCCAGACTTATGACCTATAATTATGCATATATATATATATATATATATTGCTGTAGCTATTCTTGTCTTCTTACCATTTGGTTGTTTCAAATATATATGTATAAGACTAATTAATTGAAGGAAATTAATTTTTTTTAAGATTGTAATGCTCCAAATGCTGTAAAATGTATAGGTTCCAGGGAATTAGCACCTAATCTTATGATCAAAATCGCTAAAACCTAAACGTGGTGTATTATGGCCTCCCAGAGATACACTGTACAAAATCTGATGAATTGTGCGAGTGCTACTGCTACAACCCAGACACCTAATTCTCAGAAGGTGGTTGTCTTAAAGAGGCCACTCTCATTGAATCAGTTCGGATTTAGGAGCCCGTGTACACTTTAGGCTTGGATTCAGGGTTTTGTCTAGCTCTGCTGGTTAGACCCGTTTGTCCAACAGTCCATTTGTGTAAGCTCCAGACCCTCGTATTCGCCTTTCCAGGGTTGAATAGTACTTACCTCCTGACAAAGTCTGTGAACGCTTGGCCACATGAGAGAGCATTTCAAGAAGATCGAAGTCCATTCACCTTTGGCCGCATCCAGGTCGCTTATGTGGGAGCACATAGTCTTAACTCCTTAACTTTTACCTAATCTTGATCATAACAGCAAGTCTAACTGAAAATGAAAAGAAATCAAGACAGAATGATAGATATGCTCATAAATTTGAATAGATTTTAAAAGAGTGCAGACCTCATTGGTTTTTCATTGTCATTTCGGTGGATCGTTCATTTTGTTTACTATTACCGGTTGCTGAACTTTTCCATGTTACTTCTGTATTTGAGTATGTCACTGAATAGCGGCCGTGGACATCTCAACTTAAAGCTAAGAGCAAACATGAATTTATAAGGATTTCCAACAGCTAAGTTGGAAGTTCTAGAATCCAGATGTCAACATGCGAAATTTCTGCTGATGTCATTATTGTGTGAGTCTGCACATATTTTCATTTAGCAACTTGTACAATACATGTTATAGTCAACAAAATGTAAACAGTACTTATTATTTAGGGTCTGTTGAAGGATATATGTATGCTCAGTATGCTACCGTCTTCTTGGCTTAAAGCCTGCCTGGTTTCCCAAGGTTTGTCTTTTGCGAGCACCACTTAGTTAGTGTGCGCATGATAACTGAATCCAGAGCTTTAGGTGTGAATTAAGATTATCCCCATCCCCTTCCATGATGATCACAGGAAGACTTGTTTCTCTTCTTGTAAACTAGGATAATCAATGATTTACAGCAGTCTGACGGAGCTATCTGTGATTCTCAGACATTACCTATATCTTAGTCAACTCAGTCAACAGTTTTTCACCGTCATTCTTAAGCACCTCTGAACTCATTCAGTCGGGCCTTGCTGCTTTACTTCGTATCGGATTATAGAGACAGCCTTCGTAACCTCAATTGCAGATGGAGGATCGATATCTACATCTCATTCAGATAGGTGTTGGATCCCTGGCTGTTGGTTAATTAAATTGTTCCTCGAAGTATTTCTCCAACTTTCACTTTGTCTATCCTCTTAGAAGTTATTAAGCCACTGCTTTTCTCGGAGATTGTCTTACTTATCACTTGCATTTTGCAACCTGTGTTTCGTTAATAAGCCTAAATAGTTGTCTGGTGTTACTACCTATCGCCGAGTCTTTTCTCTTCGTTTTCTCTATTGTCGCCCACCAATGTTCACAGCTCTTACAAAGTTAGCTTTTAAAGCAGCTTTCCTTCTTCGTCATGCTCAACAACCTACTGGAATCGGTCCTCTTGTGTGTCACTTAGTCTGAATAAATATAGATAGTTAAGAAAAAGTCTAAATTGCAAGCCAATCGTGTAGAAAAATGCCTGCTACTCCTGCTGTTTTCAAGGAGTGAACCCATTCACTGCTGTTCTACTGTCCTATACTATCTCGTGTATTACACTTCAAAATGCATTTAATGATTTCACTAATAATTTTCTCTTTTTGCTGTAGACCTTTATGATGGTAAACTATTTGAAGGGCGACGTATTCGACTGCATGCTGAATAATCATGGTAATCCAGTAAGTTTTAATCTAATAAGCTTTGAAAAACTTACGGATTTCTGTTTACATATTTGGTAGTTACCCTTTTATGTATGTAACAGATGTATGTATAGTTCATTGGCTTCAGCATTTGACAACTGACTAGTAAATGTGTATTGAATGCAGCCTTACAGGGAGTCAGTCGTAAATCTGAATAGCTCAGTAGTGGTTGTAACATCATCTCTCGGTGTATCAGTGAGGAGTAGCATGGACTCGAATTTCAGAAGGGAATATCAGCTACTTGATGTTAACAGATACGCTCGACTGGGGAGTTTCAACATGCATGATACCTCCTAGGTAAATCAAGGCTTCTTTCTGATTGCCTCCAACGATTTAGCATTTGATTTATTAACCAGGGAGTCACAAATTTAAACTGGACGATTTTATCTCCTTAGGTAGCTGATTTAGGACGGTTGCATCATAACTCCTCCAGCCTTCTTACTTTCATCAAGCATAACTGAGAAGCCTTAGTACATGAACTTACATCAAGAATTTAATCTCGTCAAAGTGAATAACTCAGTCGTGTTTGCTTGTTATTGCTTCCAGGCTGTTCACGCTGAGGAAGTTTATTTTTCCTCAAGATCCCTAAAACAGAAGGTGCTCAAGTGTACTGTGACTACAGAGCTGGAATGTCATACACACCCTATGTGAAGTGGTTTCTTGAAGTTGTGTCCGTATGTAAAACTTACCGGCGGCTGCTTGCCAACTGTCGCAGGATAAGTGGTGATGTACCATTTTTGAGGTTGACGCTATGTTGGGGGATTAGAATTGGGACAGCTGCTGATGGGGATGACATTATCTGGTGGTCTGGCAGAGTATATTGCGGATTAGCGCGGGTTAGAATTGATGGACCATTGGATTTCATTCTAGTAGCTGAATAGTATACGAGCTGTCGCTTTCTAGCCTGAAGGCCCTTGGTTCACAATCCCGGGAACATTCATGGGTGCGTACTGATAAATAGTCTCAAACAAGGACGAAATATCTATCTGATTCTCCCTAGTTTTTAGTGGTGGTTCCCTAACGTAATGTCAGTTCATTATCAGAATTGACTTAAAGTTCGTGCAAATTAACACCTGCAAATTACCTACTCAGTTATGATTAATGTGTGAGGTGTGTTCTTCTCCCTAAAGATTACTCTTTAGCACTAATGGCTAATATATTGTACTTCTTTTTTTCGTTATGTTAATTCACTTCAGATTGATATGCAGTTGGTTTCGCTTCCATATTTGCATCACGTTATCGCGCACTAAAGTTCCTCGTCTCTGTGTATCTATGTATGTGTGTGTGTGTGTATGTATAATGCATTTTGTGTTTTGTAGGCGAATATTTTAAAGTAGTTCATAATATTCCCTCGTATTGTCTTCATGCCAATAACAATTCTTTTAAACATTAATTTGCATTGTCGTCTTGTTGTATTCTCAATTTTATATCTGTGTTCATAATTACATTTACACTCCAAAACATTCACTCATCCGCGCACATACACACACACGAACATACAATGCACTTGTGTATGTATACAATTTACTCTTATTTTACCATCATCTTTTCTTCAAGTATTTTTGTCTTTTATTATTTCGTATGTGGGTACACGCATCTATGGATAATATGTATTGCATGAGTGCTGAATGTTCTAGTATTTCAATATTCTTGTTGTTATTATTAATACTATAATCATTATTATTCTCATTACAAATACAGTAGTTTTGTCCAATCATTGTCTTTGCCTCCCTCTTTCCCTCTTGAAACGGGACTGAGTGATCACCGGTTTGGGAAGTTGTATCACTAATATTAAGTTTAGGTGTGGTGGAGTGTTCTTACGTTAGGAGAATAAGTCAGTCGTGATGTAAGGTTGTATAAAGGTGAATCGATTGAGGAGATGGCAAGGTATTGGAAGAAAGGCTACTTATTCAAACTACCAAAGAAAGGAGACTTAAGTTAATGCGAAAACTGGTGCGGAATTATGCTCCTGTCCATCCCAAACAAAATACTATGCCGCATCATCCTGGAGAGAATCAAACAAGCCCTAGGTGAAAAACTTCGACCGGAACAGGCTGGATTCAGGAGAAAGAAGTCATGTATTGATCAAATCGCCACTTTAGGAATCATCATTGAACAAAGCTTAGAATGGCAGTCACCTCTCTATCTCAACTTCATCGACTTTGAAAAGGCCTTCGACAGACAGCGTCGATCGAGAGGTGATTTGGCAACTACTTCGCTACTACTACCGGGTGCCACCGACAATTATGCATCTCATTCAACAGTTATACGACAATGCTGCATGCCAAGTAATCCAAAACGGGAAACTTACGGAAGCCTTCGAAGTGAGGACAGGAGTAAGACAAACTGGCTGTCTACTATCTCTAATGATTTTCATGATTGCAGTAGATTGGATAATGCGACAGACAACGGGCAATGAGGAAACAGGCATAAAGTGGACTCACACAAAAAACTTGGAGGATCTGGACTTCGCCGATGATATATGTGTGATTTCTTACAAACTGGAAGATATGCAAGTGAAAAGCAACAAGTTGGCAGTAGAAGCATCCAGAGAAGATAGGACTTCATTCTGGTGAACACAGAGAAAACAGAGGTGATGATGAAGATTCCTGGCCAACAACAATCAACCATCATAAATGGGAGGAACCTGAAAGAAACAACCTCCTTTACCTACCTACCTGGGAATCATCGTTTCAATTACAGGCAGACGGAACTGATGAGGATATCAAAACAGTGAGGATCGGGAAAGCAAAACAAGCTTTCATTACTCTCAAGTCTGCGTGGAGATCAACAGCATTCACCATCAAAAATAAGATCCGGATTTTCAACTCCAATGTGAAGTCAGTCAGTGCTACTCGCTATACGGATCAGAGACTTGGCCAGCGCGTCATAAACAGCATTTCAAACAAACTACAGACCTTCATTAACAGTTGTCTTCGCTCATTACCCAAGATCAGATGGGCGGCCAAAAAAGATCAGCAACAGGGATCTCTAGGAGCGAACCAACTGAGTGGGGACCGATTGTGAAACAAATAAGCAGGAATAAATACAGGTGGATTACTGGCCATACTCTGGGGAAACCACCAAGTGACATCACTAGACAAGTCGTTGCTCGAGTGGAACCCGAAAGGGAAGCGGCGAGTTGGTCGTCAGTGCAAGGGTGACTTGGAGGAGCGTGTGGGCAGACTTAGAGCCAGGTGAAAACTCTAGCAGAGAACCGAACGCGAGGTTGAAGCCCTATGTTCCCTTAAGAATTAAAGGAAAAAATAATAAGGCATTGTTTTGCATATGCCCTAGCCATCGCAATACTCGATGGGCAATATTAGCTGACATAGGACCAGTTAGTTAGTCAGTTAGATATCAGTTAACCACTACTGGGCTAATAAGTCACGCTTATTGTGTGTGAGCTAATGACATTACTTGGTCAGTGACCTATTCTGAGGCAAGTGAAGTAGGACTCGAACCTGGGGTTCACTGACTGGAAGTTAATTGCTCAAGCCAGTTCGCTACATCCCAATAATGTAGGATTGGGTTGGAAAAGAGTACGAGTTGGTTAGACCAAAACCTGATATCAGTTCATGAAGCCTTTGACTGATTTATGTTGTGAACTAGCCCCGTGGGGTGTTGACTGCCTGGTTGAGTTACTCGAGGTACTAAGATCCATTTCTTTGAGACTATTGATAATATGGCTTAAAATAGTTCTCAGTGGTACAAATGCAGTCACTGTTTGTGATTCCCCATATTCGTTGAACCCTCATGTTTTCCCATGAGGTTATTCTTACTAGCGTTGGATTGAATTTCTTTCTCCCCACCCCCTTCCTTTTGAGTGCTACATGAATTGTGTGGACTTGAACTGTTGCAATTCTGTTATTGAGTGTGACTTTTGAATGTAGTCTCAACTGTGATGTAGACGGTCGGACTGGTTATTTAGAGGCGGCTGGTTCGAATCCTGTTGTGGTACGGGTTTTCATTTCGCCTTCAATCAGTCATCACCTATTACAATATATTAATGATAATAAATTAATTCATTGTTAGGTAATTATTATTCCCTTCGGTTTTGAATTATAATAATACTAATTTGCTTTATTCCAAAACAGTACTTGTGATACAGAATGGAATTCTTAGCATTTTATTACAATATTGCATCCAGATAGTACATTATCAATAAATAAAATTTACATAAATTATGGGTTTTCTCAGTTAGTTTTGACAACAACATATTGGCATGTCGGTAGCAAAGCCAAAAATTGAACAGTGTTTGAAAGTGTTAGAAAAGTAGATGGTGGCATATTTACGGGCGTAAGCAGAAGAAAGAAACAAAGCAGCATGTAACAGAGGAAAAAAGAGAGAGAGAAAAGGAAAAGAAAGAAAGAAAAACATTGTACCTATAAATGATATGAGTTGGAAAGACGAGATCCAGTTGTTCTACTGACTATTTAATAAGTTATAGGTATCACGCCTAATGCTTTCTTCGTCGTCGCACAGAACGTGAGCCAACCAAGTAGGGTATGGTTGAGTTTTTGAACTTACTAGTGCGAGCATGTAGTTTTCTATATAGGCTTCGGGTCTGCCTGCCTGGTGAGATAGATACAAGGGGAGAGTAGTGAATGAAGAGGGTGGTGTGAGTTAGATAGATAAAATGGATTTAGCCAATTTTTCACTTGAGTCCAAGTGCTTGTCGACCAGAATATTAAAAAGCTGGTTAGGTGGCACGTTGCTTACCCTGCTGACAACCTTTAACATCCTGCGTAATAAGGTATAGTCTTTCTTCAGTAGCCGGCCCAGGAAAAACTAAGGGGGAACAATAGAGAATACTAGGCGAAATGCGAGAGTTAACAAATCGTATGAGTAAGGGTTTGGTTATTACAGAATGTCTTAACTTCTTAATGTAGAAAGTAATACGGAATATTTTCTCAGAAATCATCAAGATATGAGACGACCAGGAAGAAAAGATCAGCAGACAGAA